TTGTGAGTAACCCGACCTTTCTCTCTGGCTGTGCTTAGCATTTTTTTCTTCATTTCAATACTGGTGAATCTGATGATGATATGCCTTGGGGTGGCTCTTATTGAGAAATATCTCTGTGGTGTTCTCTGTATTTCCTGGACTTGAAAGTTGGCCTGCCTTGCTAGGTTGGGGAAGTTCTCCTGGTAATATGCTGAAGATTGTTTTCCAGCTTGGATTCTTTCTCCCTGTCACATTCAAGTACGCCTATCAAATGTAGATTAGATATTTTCACATAATCCCATATTTCTTGGAGGCTTTATTTCTTTTTACTCTTTTTCCTCTTAACTTGCCTTCTCATTTTATTTCATTGAGTTGATCTTCAATCTCTGATATCCTTTCTTCTGCTTGGTTGATTTGGCTATTGAAACTTGTGTATGCTTTGTGAAGTTCTCATGGTGTGTTTTTCAGCTCCATCAAGTCGTTTATGTTCTTCTCTAAGCTGGTTATTCTAGTTATCATTTCGTCTAACTTTTTTTTAAAGGTTCTTAATTTCTTTGCATTGGGTTAGAACATGTTCTTTTAGATCAGAGAAGTTTGTTATTACCCACTTTCTGAAGCCTGCTTCTGTCAATTCATCAGACTCATTCTCCATCCAGCTTTGTTCTCTTGCTGGTGAGGAGTTGTGATCACTTGTAGGAAGAGAGGCATTCTGGTTTTTGGAGTTTTCATCTTTTTTGTGCTGGTTCCTTCCCATCTTCATGGATTTATCTACCTGTGGTCTTTGTATTTGGTGACTTTCGGATGGGGTCTCTGAGTGGATGTCCTTTTCGTTGATGTTGAAGCTATTTCTTTCTGCTTGTTAGTTTTCCATCCAACAGTCAGGCCCCTCTCCTGCAAGACTTCTGGAGGTCCACTCCAGACCCTGCTTGCCTGAGAATTACCCACAGGGACTGCAGAAGAGTAAGGTTTGCTGCCAGTTTCTTCTTCTGTTTTCTTAGTCCCAGAAAGGTACCCACCAGATGTCAGCCAAAGCTCTCCTTTATCAGGTGCCTCTTTGGATATACGGGGGTCAGGGAGCCACTTGAGGAGACAGTCTGTCCATTATCAGAGCTCAAGTGTTGTGCTGAGAGCTCCGTCGTTCCATTTAGAGCTGTTGGGCAGGTACGTTTAATTCTGTTACAGCAGAACTCATAACCACCTCTTTTCCCAGGTGCTTTGTCCTGGGAAGCTGGGGCTTTATTTATAAATTCCTGATGTACTGCTGCCTTTTTTCAGAGATGTCCTGCTCCACATGGAGGTAGTCTAATCACAGCCTGTCAGCAGTGGCATTGCTTAGCTACTGCGGTCTCTGCCCAGCTGCTGTGTACACTTCCTTGCAGTTTTGTTTATAGAGGTATGTTTAGAACTGCCTCAGTAATGGCAGTCTGCCTCAGTAATGGTGAATTGCCTCGGTAATGGTGGACTGCCTCAGTAATGGTGGACTTCTTTGGTAGTTCTGGTCGGCATCAGAGATGGTGGACTGCCTCGGTAGTGGTGGACTGCCTCAGTAATGGGAGACACCCTTCCCTGCACAGAGCTGGACCATCCTGTGTCCAGCTGTGCTTGCTTTGAAACTCTCAATCCAGAGTGTTTCAGATTGCTGGTCTTTGTGGGGATGGGACGTGCTGAGCCGGATCACCTGGCTCCCTGCTTTCAGCCCACTCTTTTTCAGTTGAATGGGCGGTTCTGTCTCCCAGGTGTTCCAGGTGCCAGTTGAAATGGCTGCCTAGATTTGTGTGAGTTTTTCTGTGGAAACCCATGGTGCCAGCTGAAACAGCTGTGCTGGAAACTCATGGTGCTTTTTGGACTGGGAATCTCCTGTTCTGTGGGCACTAAAAACTGTGGGAGAAGCCCACTGTCTGAACTGCCATGCTGGAGTGGATGGAAAAGCACCCGATGGCCTCTGTGGGTAGGGATGGGGGTCCTCCAGGGATTGCACTTCCTGGGTGAGGCAGTGCCCTGCCTGTCCTCAACTTGCCTTTCTTGGGCTACACCCACTGTGCAACCAGTCCCACTGAGATGCACCTGGTACCTTATTTGGAATTGCAGTGATCAGTCACCCCCTGTGTTGCTCTTGCTGGGAACTGCACTCCAGAGCTGTTCTTATTTGGTCATCTCGAATCTCTCCCAAGGTGGTTTTTTTTTTTTTTTTTTGCATGTGCTAATGGTGTTAGAGTGTGAAACTATTAGTCCTTTCAGGCTTTTCCGATGAATTTGAAACATCCACAGTGAAATCCCTTATATGCTGTCCTGTGGTGCTGACAGGGAGAGAAGAACAGCAAGGACTGTCAAATGCCTGGATTCCCCTCCACTATCCCCAGGGGAAATCCACTAAAACCTGTGTCCTGTGCTGTGTGTTGTGAATGAGTCAAAATGACCAAAAGAAAACAAAGGATTCCCAGGAAACTCCATCCATATGAAATCCTTACAGCTAGTGCTCGACTTACGACCAATATTGGTTCCGACAGACCGGTTGTAACATGATTTGGTCGTAAGTTGAGTAGGCTATATGCACGTGGAGATAGTAGTGCTGCCGGAAGCTGGTCCACACTGTCGTATGCCCAGCTGGGCAACGTTTGCGCTGCCAGACGCGGAGCAGTCGTGGCTAGCGATTGTGGTCGTAAAGTTGAATAGTTGTAAGTTGCATAGGTCGTAATTCGATCAATACCTGTAATCTGCAGGATAAGTACAATGGATGAGAAGCTGAAGACACTAATGAGAAAACTTTGTGGTTGTGAAGGGAAACTCTAACCCTGGGGGAAGAGGAAAGGACAGGAAAAGTTGGAAACTCACCCCAGAGCCATGATTACTACTTATGAGTAAGAAGGACACTTATTGGAAAGGTTGGAGGATGTCCCCATGTGTTCAGGGCCCTTCACCACTTGGTCAACTAGGTCTGCAGAGTAATGACCTCGCTGCATCAGCTCCATTCTGGCCTCTGTCTTGTGATAGTTCTTTGTAGATTTGTTTTCTCCTCTCTCATGATTTATTTGTTCTCTCAACTGCTAGCTCAATTCTCCTTTTAATTCTTAGTTTATTGAAGAGGTTCACATTTAGCTTAGAACATTAAAACCTTTAAAGACATTTTCATCTTAAACTCATCAAATCTAATCATCTCTCTTCAGGAGTGCCCATCTCCGTTTGTTTTCTCCTTTCCTTTGGGGTATGGCCCTCGTTTCTACCTGAGTACAGCTCTTACTTTCACGTGCATGAGTCAAACCATCACACAACCAGAAACATCTTGTAGGAATGTACCCTACCATCCATCTCCCCAGCCTTCATGTGCACAGTGGCTGTGCCTTCAGCTGTGATACATGATTAGGAATTTCCATTTAAAAAGTGTCTTTCATTATTCTTCAAAATGAAGTTCTTGGACCTTAAATACCTTCAAGATTCAATATTCTTCTCTGTTCCTTTGTTGTTAATATTATTCCATTAAAATTCATTGGGAATATCAGTGACGTAGAAGTGACCTGCCTACCCATCGCATCGTCTGACTTCTGCCTAACTGACCACCCAGGAGCTTGTAGTTGATGGGGCCATCTGGACCTTTATCAATAAAAGGTTTGCAATTTATTAGGGAACGACTGAGATCAGCAGGTGCCTGAGCTCCTAAGACACAGATGTGGTCCTGCAGTAGAGTCTGTGTTACTGAAATCACATCTGTGTATAATTCATGAACTATACACAGCCAAGAAGCTGCTGCCAGCTTCTGGCCATTCCTGGGTAGCCCAATGGGGGTTGTCCACAGAAGGATGGATGCAGGATATGGATATTAGAAAGTGATGTGGTGTCGGGGGCATTGACAGCCAAATTTCATTGAAAGTCTCTTCTGCCCTTGGTACTTAGGGATGTCTGGGAAGAAGGGAATAAAACTGAGACCCCATGTATCTCCTCATTAAGTTAGAGATTCAGTGCAATTTTAGAAAGTTGAAGAAATAAACTATACTTTCAGGGATCATGTCTATAGTTCATTTGAGGAAGCTGAAGAAAAACAGTGATGTGGGTGATGTTGGTGTGGTTTTCTGTGACATACTTATGAGACAGCAGAAGATGGTCAGTGGGCAGTCTACATCCAGCTGGTACTCATTGTCCATTTGTTACTTCCAAACAAAAGATAACAGACATCTTGTGTGTTACAGACACCAGGGATTGTTTCAGAGACCTTGATCAAAAATGGCCAACAGGGCCATGACACAATTTTATATGACAGCTACTATTTTTGCCGACTTCATGTGGAAATCTGAGAGCTGTGCCCAGCCTCAGGGGGCTGCTTCTCCTTCCAGGAGACAGAGCTAACAGAGTTATTTGGGATTAGTCTGTGTGGGTCTTCATAAGAAGACAACAGTTGTGGGTGGTTTAAAGAACAGACACTGACTTTTATCACAATTCTGCAGTCTGAATGTTGAAGATCAAGGTGCTGTCAGGGTTGGTTCTTGGTGAGGCTTCTTCCTGGCTGCACAGGGCCACCTTCTAGTGCACTACGTCTCAACATGGCTCTTCTCTGCGTGCACGTGAAAAATGAGAGGTCTATGGTGTTATTTCATCTTCTTACAAAGACAACAGGTCTATTGCATTAGGTTCTCACACTTATGACCAAATTTAACCTTAATTATATCCTTACGATTCTGTTCTCCAATATAGATCCATTGGATTTAAGATTTCAGCATATGAATTTCAAAGAGGGCAAAATTCAATTGATGACACAAATCAAGAGATGCTGGGAAGAATTAGCATTTTTTAAAATCAGTAAGGTTTGTAATGGGTCCTGCAGTAACATGTAAGAAAGTTCCTAGTAATTGTTGAAACTTCAACTGTAAGAGAAAAATGTCTTCCTCCTTTCTTTGCTGGCACAAGGATGTGAGGAAGCAGAACCACAGATAATAAAGAAAGGAGCCATGGACACAGCTCCAGTGCTGGCGGGGAGGGAGCCCACTGAGCAGATGAGGAAGCCCCGCTCTCCCTGCAGGTGCTCCAGACCCGGCCTCGGGCTCTGTGGGCCCTGCGCACCCCCTGCTGGTCCTGAGCAGCACCTGTGCCCACCCCGCCGCCTCCCTGCAGGGAGGTTTGTGTCTGGGCTCACACTCACCTCCCCTCACTGTGTCTCGCACAGTAATACACGGCCGTGTCCGCCGCGGTCACAGAGTTCAGCCTCAGGGAGAACTGGTTCTTGGACGGGTCTGCTGATATGGTGACTCGACTCTTGAGGGACGGGTTGTAGTAGGTGCTCCCACTATGATAGATGTACCCAATCCACTCCAGCCCCTTCCCTGGAGGCTGGCGGATCCAGCTCCACCAGTAACCACTACTGATGGAGTAACCATAGACAGCGCAGGTGAGGGACAGGGTCTCCGAAGACTTCACCAGTCCTGGGCCCCACTGCTGCAGCTGCACCTGGGACAGGACCCCTGTGAACAGAGAGACACACGGTGAGCCCTGGGCTCAGAGGCAGCCCCCATAAATTCATATCTGCACCCCTGAGACACTCACGTCTGGGAGCTGCCACAAGGAGGAGGAAAAACCACAGGTGTTTCATGCTCTTGCATGTGAGGTCCATGACTCTCAGAAAGCCTTTCCCATGTGAGCAGGACCCTGAATTTAAGGAAACGTGTGGTGGTTTCCTGTGGGTGCCTAAGTGAGGATTTGCATGTGGGTGGTGCCTTTGCATGGAGCAGTGAAAAGGGATGAGCAGGCCCCAGTCTTTCAGGCTCTCCCTGGGAGGAGGATGCTGGCTGTGCCCTCTGAGAACTCAGTTGTCTTCCTGGGGCCTCCCCTCCCCAAGGCCAGAGTCCTCTTCTACCAGGTAGGGAGATGTGCTGAAGGAACTGGTCTGGGAGATAAGTGTGATCATGGATCACAGACAGATTTTGGAATAGGGTCAATACCGCTCTACCCTTAAAAATTCACATAAGACAAACCTCACATTCAGGTCATCTAAATTGTCATTTACCTATTCAGACACATTGAAACAGGAGCTGAATGTAACAATCACAATGAATTCAGACAAGCCTGGATTCATCTGACGTTTATTTTAGTTCAGAACACCTGTCATGATTAGAGGGAAGCTCCCTGTCCCAGGGAGTGGGTCATTTTAAAAAAGCACCTGAGAGCTGCCCTCTGCAACCTTTTGGAGTTCAAGATTCTGTCTGAGATCTCAGGAGAAGGTAGTGGGACATACTGCCATCCTTCTCAATGTGTGACTCTGAAGATGTGGCCAGACCTCTAAACACTTCTGTGTCAATATATGTAGACTGGGGATGGCAGTGACAGCTTCAGACACAAACTTTATAACAGGTCAGCTCTGCAGGATAGTCTCCAAGATCTGTGCAACTGCCATTCCTGGGAACCAGAGATGGCCTCTGTGAGCTCTCCCTTCTGAGAGCACAGGGAACTCTGGTCCTTCCCTGACAGATCATACCTGTGAAACATGGCTGGACAATGACACTCAAGCCCAGAGTCCTTACACACATATTTATCAATTCAGATTCATCTGTTTCTGAAAGACTTTCTCCTCCATTGAATTGTGTAAACCTACCCTGGGGTGTGTGGTATTGCAACTTGGGTATTTGACATTAGTTTGGTGAAATGTCAAAGTCAGTATATATTAATTTATCTTTCTTTTTTCTGTTACAGACAGATACTTGTTCCGTTAGTAAATAACGTATCTCCATGGATGTAGGTAACAGGAGAGTCATCAGAAGTTGGGTGTGTCATAAACTTAGGACAAACCTGGGCTCTCTTCCTGGGACCTGAACAAGTGAACTGACCTTCTGTGAGATAACAGAGCAGAAGAGACAGACTCAACATCCAGAGCCAGGTGAGCTCCTTACCTACCAGGTGGTCTCTGGGCCTTTTGTTTGAACAGATCCAGAAAGACCTTCATCTACTGGATCCTTTCACACCCTCAGGAGAATTATGAACATTGGGGGAAATTGAGATAAATTTTTATTTACAGAGAATAATTCATAGGCTTGTAGACATTTATGTGGGTATGTACAGGGATGCTAGGATATGCTCATACACAGAATAGAAAAAATTGTGGTTCGTGGAGAGAAAACCAAAGAACTGCTGAATATGTAGGTACTGTTTACCACAAATGTGTCAGGTCACTAGATCATGTTATAATGCTAGAGGTAAAACTTCCCAATGTTGCCATAGAGACAAAATGCAAAAGAGTAGTGAGATTCCTTTGAAAATCACCAGCAATGAACAGGCCAAAAGAAATGAACCATTATGGAAAGCGTGGTAATTAAATCAAAACACAATGACTTCTATTCTGTTCCCTAAGCAAGACAAACTCTTACCTGCTTTAGAACCTTTTCGGTTCTCTGCTCTACATGCTCTTCTCTGTAGCAAGCTAAGCTGGTACTTCATCAGAGAGGCTTCTGCCCACATTGTCAAGAGTAGCAGAATTCAGTTATCTGCTTTCTGTCACATCACCTTCTTTCTATCATATCACTATTGCAGTTCATAATTATTGATTAATTAATATGTTATTTTCTTTTACTAACTTTTCTTCCCCTCATAAGTTCCATGAAGGCAAGAATCATACTTGTTACCATGGATTATTTTACTACCATTCACTAAGTGAAATGGATGAATGTATTACTGTATGCTGCAGTTTGATATGCATTCAATTATGCGTAAAATGATTCGTCAAACATAATTATTTCCCTAGTTGTCATAGTGTGGCTTTAGTCACCTAAAACTACTGTTGTTACCGCTGCAAGTATTATTGCCTTTTAAATATTCTGTAATAAAATAACTGATATCTCCTAACAGGCATTTGGAAACAAGAGCATGGTTCTTTGACTGGGCAGACCTGGTGGGAATTACCAGAGTGTTGGTTGTATCTTCTACTGTCAGAGTTAGGACTGTGTCAGTAGTATTTTAAGAGCTAGCAATGATGATTGCCTTGAAAGTTCATTCATTCAGAAAGTTGAGACAACTTACATTCACTTACGGGAAATATATAGCTTCCATGCCTAGATCAGCACCTTCTCTGGGTTGTGTACTTTGTAATCATGCAGACCTAAATTTTACGCCCAAAGCTCTGATAATATAGCTAATCCAAATATCCTTTGCCTTTTGTGGTCTTGGTCCATGAAGCATGATATTGAACGAGACAAGTATCACATTGAATTTTCACTTGTCTTGAGGGCTGGAAAGACCTAATGAAATTAATTTGTTTTGCTTGGAGCACTATTGGCTCGAGCATATTGGATTCATCCAGAAACTTGCCACTGAAATCCTAGAAATAACTGCTTTGACATTAAGTTTTTCCTTCTGTTTTGTATCATAGTGACTGTTATAAATAGGTGTGGAAGTTGTTTAAAATTGAACCTGTGGTGGTTAAAATTTTACATTAGACTTTCAAACGTGAACTTTCCTCAAATTTATGCAGTGAAAGATAATTTAAGAAATTCTTTCTCCCAGGAAACTTTCTTAGAAAGTAATTTTAAGTTAACCAATGGAGTGCTTGTATTTTCTATTAAAGATTCTTCAGAATTAATTTTCACAGTCACTTTTTACCTTTACACCTTTCAGTGAAACCTTGAGTCTGATGAATGTGTTAAATAGCTCAGACTAGCAGATATTAATGTGGAAATTGACAACCATCACCCCAGTTCCTACATTTATGTCTTTGTGCCTTTTGCCAAGTTACTGAACCTTTCTGAGGCTCTAGTTTTTCTACTGTAAAATAAGAATACTGTACTAATACTGTCTGTTATGGCATATAATTCTCAAGGATTAATGGAGATAAGTAAAGGCCTTAACAAGGGGCTTGGCGCTACATGTCCAATCCCGCAGCCAGCAGCAGCTCCTGTTGCCCACATTCCCCTGGCCAGGTTCTCCTGCAGCTGGCACCAGAGGGCATGGCAGGAGGGCCCACAGGTCCCTTTGAGAAGACAGGCTTTGTGTGAATGTTAACACAATGTGTACAAACTACATTAGTAATAACTACTTCCGTCATACACTGGCAATCTGTTTAACATCTGGAAAGATTAGATGTTGTAAACAGGACTTGTTCATCCTCTATATACACGATATCCATAGATAAGCAAAACATATGAACAGACAAAAGAGGTGATCTTTAATCTCACCTCCCTGTGAGCACACAGGCCTAGAACTCTGAACTTTCTCCTCTTCTCCCCTGAACCAGAGCACAAACACTGTGGGCGAGACTCAACCACGGATTTGGACATTACCACCACAAAAAATTTCAAAAAGATATTTACAAAGTGTAGTATTTTACTACCTGTAATTTTAACATTTATCAGGCACTTAGAACATCTAGAAAGACTAGATATTTCAAAATAATACTTAGTATTGCCAACGATGTACACTAGTGAGGAATAAAATGGAATCAACAAAACAATGGCAATTATATGAAAATGTCTTCTGAATATGAGCAGCCTGGCATGGAACCCTTTTCCCTTCGTGCCCAGGTGTCCCCTCCATGTCCTCTAACCCACTGGACAAAGGTCACCGTGTGGCTCCTGTGCTCCTTTCAGGGCTGGTCTAATAACTCCATTTCAAAATGTCATTTCCACAAGACACCCATTTTCTCTGATTTTTTAAAAAGCAGATGGTAACTTAGAAGACGTGTAATTTTCTGACTCTAGCATACCTTGGAACCTCCTTACATCCAGACGGGACAGATGCAGCAAATGTTTTCTTTTAAAAGATGGGGAAGCGATGAGTTCGTGTCCTAGAACACGTGGGCACAGGGAGGGGAGCATCACACACTGCGGTCAGTGGGGGGCGGGGTGGGGGGGCCAGGGGAGGAACGGGGGGCTGGGGAGGGTGGGGAGGGATGATGAGAGGAGAAGCACCGGATGTAGGTGACGGGGGGACGACGGCAGCAAACCGCCTTGCCATGTGTGCACCTATGCAGCAATCCTGCATGATCTGCACATGTACCCCTGACCCTAACGTACAATTAAAAAAACAAAAAAGATGGGGAAGGCCGAGAGCGGCTTTTTCATGTGTCATACACAGGCCTTCTAGAAACGGCCGGTAGAGGGTGGAGGGCACGGCCAGTGGGACAAACGTGGACGGTTCTTCTCCGTTTCTCCTCACCCACGTCAAGGTCTGGCAGAAGAAGGATCACCGCCCGGTGGTCGCTACCCGTTCTCCCGTCGTCCTCCAGGATTCCGCTCGCCTTTCTGGCCCTACGGCCTTCGTCCCTTGTCAGGACTGGGTGGGTCTCTTCCAGTTGGGACAGGACCAACCCCAAGATCCGGAGCTTCAGTGCTGCACGGCCTGAGGGAGGACGGAGCAGCGACCCGGATCCCCCTTCCCGGCGGCCCCCGCGCCCCGGGCCACCCAGGTCCCATCTGTCCCCGCGCCTCCCCGATAGTGTGCGTCCCATCAGCCCCTGCGCCTCCCCGGACCGCCAGTGTCCCGCCGGCCTCTGCGCGTCCCAAGACCACCCACGTCCCTCAGGCCCCCGCGCCCAGGACCGCCAAGGCCCCATCAGCCCCTGCGCCTCCCCTGACAGCCAGTGTCCCTCCGGCCCTCGCACGTCCCAGGACCGCCGGCATCCCATCAGCCCCCGCGCCTCCCCGGACCACCCACGTTCTGCCCGACACCGCGCGTCACTGTGGCGGCTGCCCC